ATAACCCTCTCTTTTGAAATTCTATAACATATGCATAGGCAACCAAGAGTCCTATGTGAAGACCCCGAATTTTCACTTTATTATTATTTTTTTATTTTGAAAATAATATACTTCCTTCAGGGCATGCTATTAATACCTTCAAGAAAAGTTGGGAAAATAAGTACCCGTAGCCAAAGATGTGAAACAAGGTAGATTGTTCACTGTGAGAAATCATCTTCAAGACTTATTTTTATGGATCTTTGATGTTAAAAATAGTAAGGAAACCTTCTAAACTACTTTGAGTAACCGTCTTAGCTCCAGGACTCATTTTTTTGTAATAAGCTAGCAGAAACGTAAGTGAAGTCAAGAAATGGGTTTGTAAATTAAAATTAAGCAGAAGACATAAAATAAAGAACCTATTTAAAAGTTCTACTTTCTTCAAAAGACTATACGAAGTCGAGATTTACTATACTTTGATAAGAAAATTATAAGATCAATTACTATCCAACTCAACACTCCACGAGGTTTGATTTACAGGCTAGAGATGCAACTACATCACTTTCTTTTCTAAAATACCATCACAACATCTCAAAAACTAAATATTCTATAGAGTCACATAATCACTTAATGCATAAGAGTGATTGTAAAGTGCACGTGATCACACGTGATCACAAGCCATAAATCCACGAAACACTAGAACAAAAGAATGTTTTATCAAATTTCTTGAATAAGATTAGAAGGTAGAATCTTAAATAGATAAAATCATAAATATTTCTTGGTTATCCACTAATATTTCGATTCGTCAGTCGGTATCTTCAACCTTGAACCCACGAACTCAAAGAAACCTTGCTCTGTTACTACAAGGAGTCGTGAAACGACTATAATGTCGAATTTCGATGAGAAAATCATGATATAGGCATTCCATGTATAACTTCAATAGCATCAAAATCTACATGCATGCACTCTTTCTTTTATATCTAGTGTTTCATTCAATACTTCTATCAACATACATACTAGTCTCAATTATAAACACAGGACAAATAAATGCACATATTAGACACAATTAGTTCATCTATTTGCATGCTCAAATAAGCTCAATTTGCTCATAAGCAACCAAATTGGTAGTCTCTATCTCAACACTTCAGTGAGCAATATAGTCTCTTGCATGCACAATTATAATAGCTCAAATGCCCAAAAATCTCAGGGGGCGGACCTACATGTGGCCTAGTGGGGGCCGCCGCCCCCACGCAATTTTCAGATTTCCCGATTTTTCTTCAGATTTTCAGATTTTTTTAGTTTTTTTTCTCCAGGTTTTTTTAGATTTTCAGATTTTTTCCAAGGTTTTTTGATTTTGCCCCCACTGAACTTCCTTCCTGGGTCCGCCCCTAAAAATCTCAATAATAAATGGAGTCCAATTCATCTAGGGATTACAAAAAAGCTCGCCGGCTCGAGCGGCTCGGGCTCGGCTAGGAAAAAGCTTGAGCTGGGCGGGCTCGGGCTCTGGCCGAGCCTCATTTTTTT